AAAAGAGGAGGAGGAGGGGGAGAAGGAGGAGGAGGAGGAGGATGAGAAGGGAGCAGATCACCAAAAAAGTTCAATAATCTGAATAGCACTTGACTTCTCATAAGCAATATTGGAAAGTGAAGACAACGAAGCAATAATGTCAAAATTTTGAGAAGCAAAAATGTCAACCCAGAAGATATCGAACCAAAAATATCAATAAGTCTGACAGAAAAACAAGAAACTTTCAGGCATGTAGTAAAAAAGTTACCTCCTATACTTTTCTCAGAAAGCTAATAAAAACAATGAACTACCAAAGAGCAAGTCTTAAATACAGGAAATAGAAGACCCAACGCAGGAAAAAGACAAGGGGAATCTTCAGGATAGGGATGAAGCAAAATCTCAGAATAAAACAAAACAGACCTACAGAACAAGATCTTATCAAACTCAGAGGATGGAAGGCCCCAGGAAGAAATGCTTCAAGAAAAAAAATGAAATTAGCAAATTAACCAGATAGAAATATCTGAAGGCATGGATATTTATATCTATGGAAGACAGCACACTGATGAATTAGATAGGTATACAGGAAACAAAACAATTATTAACTCTAGGGAAAATAAAATGTTGGATAAGACAGAATATGCAATCAGAGCATACTATGTGGCTTAGATATGAGTAATAAAGACTCATAATAATTTAATCACTGAAAATTTTTCCCACTGAAAAATTGTAAGTATATTAAGAAAACAGATAGAGAGGCAATACATGTGAATGTGTGGAAGTGTCTATATATGGGAGAGAGGAAGAGAGTAAAAGTTAAATCCTCATTTGATCTGTCACCCTGCTTCTATCTTTAGGTCCCAGATTTACAATTTCAATAACCATCATTGCTATTCTCTGTCCCCTTCCAGTCTAGCTTTAAGAAAGTGGTGCTAAATCCTGTTAGCTATGATTACCAAAAGGCCGAATGCCCTGGCTTATCTTCCCTGTCCTGGGGGAAGAGGGTGCTGGAAGTATATGCTTCTGTATCCTATAAAAAAGACACCAATACATGCATAGGAGATTGTCCTATTCTCATGCACTCCAGGAAAAGTTCACTTTTGCCCTTGGCATAGGTTAGTTATGAGCATTCCCACAATATTTATAATTATATATTTACAAGTTGAAGAGTTCTTATAGAGTACAAACCTGTTTCTCCCTTTCCTGAAGTTGAGAATTTTCATTCAATACATCTTTTATTGTTCTCTTAAGTCGTTCTTCATTCATCTGAAATATCTTCAGGGTTGTTTTGGTCTAAGTGAAAAAAAATAACAAGCTTACAGCAATTAATTTAATACATAGCTAATCTTTATGCACACTCCATAGAAAATGGAATTAAAGGCAAAAACACACCAATATTAACAGAAGAGGCAACATGGTATAGCAGAAAAAATGCTGGCCTAGAATCAGGGTCTAGTCATGTATCTGCCAGTAACCTGTAATGTGACCTTAGACAAATGACTTAACCTTCTGTAATCATCTATGTACTGTGCAGCAAATTTTGTAAACTATTTATTCTATGTCTATTCGTGGGGTTTTTTTTTTCTATTAATGTTAAATGATAAGCACCTTCAACACTGCTTAGTACACAACAAAAGCTCAGTAAATACTTGTCCAGTGAAGAAAATGAAATTTTCTGGAGTATCACACGTAAAATAAATACCTATTCAAGATCCTGTATCTCAAATCCTAATGTTATTCCTAATTCCTTAAAAAAAAAATCAATAAAATTACTATTTTCTAACGCAACAGACCTATAAGACTAATTCAACTTACTTCAGCTGCTTGTAATTTGACAGACTTTAATTCATCTTCTAGGGACTGCACCCTTTTTGAAATATCCACCATCTGGAAAGACAGTGTTAGGCAATATATAAGAACTAAACTCCAGTTCTCAAGATGCCATATATGTTAGATATATTGTTAACCTAACACCATTCTCCATAATTGAGTTCTGAAATTAAGAAACTTTTTCAGTTTATTTAGCCATACACCTAGAGGGATTTTATATGAAAGTTATGTAATAACAGTATCTCATATCAACTTTAATATTTATAATATTTAATAGTTATATAGGCTCAAGATAAGTCCACCCACATAATCTTAGTAAATAATCTCACACATCAAGATTTTCCTTAAGCCAGATTTTTAAAAAGAAAGATGTTATAATGTTCTTAACATACCTTTTAAGTAACAAAAAAAATCTACTATGTACATGATTATTACCATAAATTATTTATAAAAGTTACTCCCATTGTGCATATAGAAAATTTCTATAAGAATATGCAAGAGATTCAACATGGTAACATCTAGGAGGAAGTAAAAAGAATGAATCGAGGAAATGTTGCTCTCCACTTTACAACCTCTGTACACTTTGCATTGGTTTTTATAGTGCATGCAATACTTTAACCAGCATTATATTAATTTTTAAAAACTCAGCAACTTTATTTTTCTTATATTCTCCTCATAATACAAAAGTCTTACCAATTCATCTTGTTCAGAATACTCAGATTTCTCTTCTTCTAACTCTTTTTCTAGACAGAATATTTCATCCTCAAGTTCAGATTTGGACCTTTCCAGCCTTTCACAGGTTGCCTAAAAGAGAAAGCCAATTTTATAAAGCAGACATGGGAATTTTTGGTTAAGGCAAATCAGATAAGCATAATCAAATATATGTGCTATAAGTTGAATTAGTTTATGCAGTTGCTCATTTTACAATATTAAAACAACAGCAATTTTAGCAGCAATTATAGCAAACTTCTATAAAGAGCCAGAGCACAAATATTTTAGGCTTGCAAATCACGCAGTCTCTGTTATAATTACTCAACTCTGTCATCATAGTGAGAAACAAAAACAATACCTAAATGAATGAGCATGGCTATGTTCCAATAAAAGTTTATTTACAAATACAAGTGGAGAGCCCACTAGGCACAGTGTGCCAACCTCTACTCTAAAGAATTATAAAGAAAAAAATGAGAAATAAATCTAATTTAATATTATTAAAGACACGACAACATTAAAAAAACTCAAAAACCAATTAAGATTGCTTCATGGTAATATGCTACATTGAATTAAGACATATTTTCTGTGACCTTAATTTTAAATGATTAGTTACTGAATTATTCTAACTGGATTTTAAATACTATAATAAACATATCTCTGATATTTGTGATCCTTCAACAAACTTGTTAAAAAAAGATAAAAATAAACCAAACGAGTCAAAGAATTGAATACAGGCCAAAAGAAAAGCAGAACAAATAACATACTATATTACAATAGTTTTAAAAAAATTATTTTATATATATTACCCCAAATATGACTATTTTATTACAGGAATTATTCAATTTAAATCAAAATTGCTCTACAGATTTGACTTTACAAATTCAACTACGAAACTTTTTAATTTCATCATATTAGTTTGTATAATCATAATTACTATTCCTGAAAAGAAATACTGTATGTTTAAAAAATTACTAAAGTTAGAGAATATTCCAAAACATTCAATTCAGCTAAAGATTCAACTAATTTTACTATTATATTATATAAGTTCGTGACCTTGAGAATAAGTTGGTGTATTCCATTTTATCCATACTACTAAGTGTGAGTAAATCTCTTCGCTACTCAATTTTTGCTCTTCTATTAGTATGTCAGATGTCTTTTAAAATTTTTTTTATTTATCAAACTAATAAATTGCTACCAGTACAGTAGTTAAAACAGAGGGTCAACTAATATAATAATTTCAACAAGTTTTTAAAGATAGTAATAGGTAACAAATGAAGAAAAGATTCAGAAATTTATTTTACTTGGAATCCAAATTATAACTTCCTTTGGACTCTACTCAAAATTCTGAATCTTGACACACAGACTTTCTGATGATTACAAACATCAGTGGTTGAAAACTGCCAAGCTGTTTATCAAAGGTACAAGGTCTACAATTTTCTACTTGAATATTTACAGACAAAAGCTTCCTTCCCTATCCTTTGTCCCTACTCTGGCTTCTCATAATACTTCCACGTCTAAAGTGCATTAAGGCACTCCTATCACTTACTCTAATCTTGGTTTAGCTAAATTAAAAGTTACCACCCTTTCCTTCCTTAAAATTAGCCAAATCACACCTAGCTCAGGAAAGCCAATTGAGCACATCTTTCCAAACTTCTCATTCAGTGACATCATATTGGTAGCTTACTGGAAACTGGCCATGGTGGGAGCATTTAGACCACAAAACTAAGCAAATACTACAAGTAAGGTTTTCTGGTTTTTAGAGAGTCAGCTGTTAAACATTTACCCACACACCAGTATTTATAAAGCAAACCTCTATCTAATTCTAGGTAGCTCCTAATACCCTGGGGATGAGGTAAAGGCAAATACTGTCACAGTTTACATCATTTATTGTTGCCAACTATTCCTACAGTTGTGAAAATAAATCCTATTCTTCCTTTCTGGAACAAACTGGGTCAAAAAAGGAATGCATTTCTCAGGAATGAAGAATGAAAAGCTTCTACACAGCACTCAATTCTTTGAACATGAACATGCCTCACTCAAAACAAGTTAGCAATAAAACCTCAAATCTTTATATAACATTTTATAAATGTTCTATTTTCTATATTTTACTTTTTTCTTTTTGAGAAGAAATATTACTTTTAAAGTTTTTGTTATTTAGTAAGAATCTTTTCCCCAGCTTTTAAAATTATACCATTTTTTCTTTTACCTCCAAACTTTGTGCTTCTGTTGACTCCTTTTCAAAACTGGCATCCTTTAAAGACGACTCTAAGCCTTCACACTGAAACAAAGCAATACCATAAGTAAAAACTCCACAAATTTTATACTGAATTTCATCTGGACAGATGCCCTAACAACCAGACAGAATCCATTTCCACATGAATGCTAAATTTACTTTGATTTACTTAGCCTTAAATTCTTCAAATTTAAGCTGGGCATGGTGGTTCACACCTAAAATCCTGCACTTTGGGAGGCTAAGGCAAGAGGATCACTTGAAGCCAGGAGTTCAAGACCAACCTGGGCAACAAAGCAAGACTTCATCTCTACAAAAAAAAAAAAAAAAAAATCAAAGAAAAAAATTAAGCGGGCATAGTGGTGACACCTGTGGTTCCAAGCAACTCAGGAGGCTGAGGCAGAAGGATTGCCTGAGCCCAGGAGTTTGAGGCTGCTGTGAGTCATGATTGTGCAGAACCCTGTGCTTCACTTAACAGTGACCTCTCAAAAGGGGTCATTGTTCTAGTCCCCAGAATTTCCAGGTGTGATAAAGGATCCTGGGATGGGAAAAGTATCCAGGATTATTCTGGTAGGTCCAATAAAATGTTGAGTCCTTATAAGAGGGAGGCAACAATTCCAAAGTTAGGAAAGAAGGTGATGCGAAGATGGAAGCAGAAATTGAGGTGAAACAGTTATGAGCCAAGGAATGCTGGTAGCTCAAAAGTCAAGGAACATAGTATCTCCTAGAACCTGCATAACCAAACAGCAATTTTTGCCCATAAGATTGGTTTTAGACTTCTGACCTCCAAAACTGTAAGAGAAAAAATTTGTGTTACTTTACACCACACTAAGTTTGTGGTTATCTGTTACAGCAGAAATAGAAAACTACTAACTACTCTTACCAACCAAAACTGGCTACCTTATAAAAAAATCTAAACCAGACACAGGCTAATCCTTTGAACTGAGACCCAGCTTCCAAACATCTCAATCTGTTATTAAAGTAATCTGACCTCCCAACAAAGAAAAGCACAAAACCAGATGTCTTCATGGCTGAATTCTACCAAACTTTCAAAGAATTATTAACAAAACTCTTTTTAAGTTCTTCCAAAACACAGAGTTGGAGATAATATTTCCTAACACATTTCATGAGGTCAGCATCACTTTGATACCTAAGCCAGACAAAAATACTACAAGAAAAAAAAAAAAAACAGGCCAGTGTTTCTGGAACATTGATACAGAAATCCTCAGTAACGTATTAGCAAATTGAATTCAACACCACATCAAAAAATTAAAAATCATGAACAAGTGGGATTTATCCCTGACATGCAAATCAGGTTAATGTATGTAAATCAATCAATGTGATATATCCCATTAACAAACTGAAAGACAAAACCACATGATCATATCAATGGACACAGAAAAAGCATTCAACAAATTGGAGTTCTCAGTCAGACATTAAAATAAGTAAGCATAGTATGCAAAAGGAACTGAAAATAATATTGTACCTGGGAAAAAGAACTACAAAAAGATCCACGATGAAACCACAGAACTGAAAATGATAATAAATGAAATTAAGATCTCAATGGATAACTTAAAAGATTATTAGACATAAAGACAATTAGTAAGAGGGTAGACAGATCAGAAGACTATATCCAAACTAAAGTTTCAACAAACAAAAAGATGGAAAATCCAACAATAATAAAATATGAGACATAATAAAAAGTCAAAATATACATATTTAGAGTTCCAAAAAGAAAAAAGAGGGGCAAAAAGAAGTGCTCCAAAACTAATACAAGATACTGAGACACAGATTCTAGGAAACACAGGAATCCCAAGAAGGACAAACAGAAGAAACCATACTTAAACAAATCACAATAACACAATAACACTGCTGTAAACCAAAGAGAAAAATCATAAAAGTAGCCACAAGGTTTCTAATAAAGTTAAACTCTACCTGCCCTAATGACCTACCAATTACAATACCAAGTATTTATTGAAGAGAAATGAAAACACATGCCCACAAAAATAAACTAGTAGAAGAATGTCCAAATAAATTGTGGTATATTGATACCATGCAAAGTTACTTAGTAGGGGGAAAAAAAAACTACAAACACATGCAACAACACAATGCATCTCAAAAATAATGCTGAATGAAAAGCCACACACAAAAGAGTATGATGTCATTTACACAAACTCTTTAACAAAAACTCTATAATCTATGGTGTTATGACAATTAAATGAGAAAACAAGTTTTTTCAACAAGTGGTGCTGAGACAAATGGATATCCACATGCAAAAGAATGAAGTTAGACCCCCTACTGCACATGATATATACAAATTAATTCAAAATGGTTCAAAGTTCACAAACTTTTACAAAGAAACGTACACGTTAATCTTTGAGACCTTGAAAACAACAACAAAAAACTGAGCATCATCAAAATTTAGAACTTCCATGCTACAAACAACACAACTAAAAAAGTGAGAAAAGCCAAACAATGGAAAAATATTTGCTAGTCCCATATCTGACAATATCTAGAATACACAGAGCTAGAACCAATAAAAAAAGGCAAATAACCTAATTAAAAATATCCAAATAAATGAACAGACTTTTCTCCAGAGAAGATATATAGAGAGCAAATAAGCACATGAAAAGATGTTCAACATCATTAGTCTTCAAGGAAATACAAATCAAAACCACAATGAGAAACCACCCCATAGCTGCTAGGATGGCTATAATAAAAAAAACAGATAATAAGATTTGAGAAGGATGTGAAGAAATCTGAATACTCACAAACTGCTGGTGAGAATGTAAATTGGTATAGCCACTGTGGAAGACAATCTAGCCATTCTTCAAAAAGTTAAGCACAGATGCAGCAATTCCACTCCTAGGTATATACCCAAAAGAACTGAAAACATGTATCTATACAAAAACTTATACATGAATGTCATTAGCAGGATTACTTATAATACCAAAAGTGCAAATAACCCAAGTGTTCACCAACTTATATGAATATATAAATTGTGGTACGAAATATTATTTGGTCAAAAAAAAATTAAGTACTGAAACATAATACAGTAGAGATGAAAACAATAATTCTTTCAAGTAATATCCAAGAGTGAAATTATTATGTCTGTGTTTAACATTATGCTAAGTGGAAAAAGTCACTCACAAAGAATCACATGTTGTAAAGATTGAATTTATGTGGATAAATTGAAACAGAAAGTCTATATTTTATCTAGGGCTCTGGGTAGGAGAGATGGGGTGAAGGGTGAAAAATAAAGGATCCAGAGCTTCTTCTTGGGGGTACTAAAAATATTCAAAAGTTGAAATTATTGTGATGGACTACTCTTTGAATATAATAAAAGCCATTCACTTACATACTTTAAATGGGTGAAATGAATCGTAGGGTATGTAACCGTATCCCAATAAAACTGTCAAAAAAAAAAAAAGCTTATACCATTTACAATAGATTTTAAAAAAATCAGATACCTGGGAATAACTAGAAAAGATATGTAAGATCATAACACAAAAATGTATCAAACAATAATGGGCCACCCCAGTGTTGACCTGCTGGGCTCCGGCAATCCTTCCACCTCAGCCTTCCAGGTGGCTGGAACTATGGGTGCATGCTACCATGCCCAGGTAATTTTTTATTTATTGTAGAGATGAGGTCTTGCCACGTTGCCCAGGCTGGTCTTGAACCCATGGGCTCAGGCAATCCACTAGCCTCGGCCTCCCAAAGTGCTGGGATTACAGGCTGAGCCACCAAGCCCGGCCAGAACTCAACATTTTAAGAATGTCAATTGATCTACATATTTAGTGCAATCACAATCAAACACATGGCAGGCTATGTGTATGCACGTATACTTGTGTGTGTGTGTGCGTGTGTGTGTGTGTATAAACTAATAACTCATTTTCAATTTATATGGAAAGGTAAAGTGTCAAGATAGCCAGGACAATTTTGAAGAACAGCAAACCTAAAAGTTTAAACTGTCAGATACCAAGACTTATTATGCAACTACAGTAGATAAAACATGGTATTGGCACCAAAAAAGACCAACAGAAGTTATAACAGAAACAGATTCAACATATAATCAGTCGCTTGATTTAAGAAGATGACACTACAGAATAGAGAAAAGATGGCCTTTTCTTTTTTCTTTTTTTGAGTTGGAGTCTCACTCTGTTACCCAGACTTCAGTGCAGTCTCCCGGCCACCACAGCCTCGACCTGCTGGGCTCTGGTGATCCTTCCGCCTCAGCCTTCCAAGTAGCTGGAACTACAGGTGCACCCGGCTAATTTTTGGTTTATTGTAGAGATGAGTTCTTGCCAAGTTGCCCAGGCGGGTCTTGAACCCGTGGGCTCAGGCAATCCACTCACCTCAGCCTCCCAAAGTGCTGGGATTACAGGCTGAGCCACCGAGCCCGGCTAAGGTGGCCTTTTCAATAGTGGTATTTGTTAGTTCAGTATCCATATTAAAAAATTTAAATCTTGACACACGTACTCCCCCAATGACACCATCACAAATTCAATTCCAGATGGATCAAGACTGTTAAGTACTAAACTGTGTTCCCTACAAACTCACATATTGAAGCCCTATCCCTGGCACTTCATAACGGTACTAAATTTGAAGACAAGGCATTCAGAGAGGTGGTTAAGTTTAAATAAGGCTGTTAGGATGGACTTAATCCATTGTGGCTAGTGTCGTTACAAAAGAAAATTTGTACACACAGACACACCAGAAATGTACACATGCACAGAGGAAAGACTATCTGAGGACACATCAAGAAGGCAGCCTTCTGCAAGCCAAGGAGAGAAGCCTCAAAAGAAATCAAACTTGTCAATACCTTGATCTTGGACTTCTAGTCTCTAGACTGTGAGAAAATAAATTTCTGTTGTTTAAGCCACCTAGCCTGTGGTATTTTGTTAAGGTAGCCCTAACAAACTAACATAAAGACTATATGAGCAAGCAAAAATTTATTAAGTAGGAAACAAAAAGCAGTTGTCATAAAGAAAAGATTGACAAATTAGACTACGTTTAAATTAAGAATTTCTGCTTACCAAGACACAATTTGAAATAAAAAGGCAAGTCACAGAGTAGATGAAGATATATACAATAGATACATCTTATATCTGAAATACAGAAAAAATCCTAAATGTGAAAAAGCAGAAAGATAACCATCTCTATAAAAATGTGAAAAAGACAAGAAAAGGCAGCTTCACAAAAAGAATATCCAAATGGTCAATAATCATACGAAAAGGTGTTCAACTTCATTAGTCAAAAAAACACAGCTAAACCACAGTAAGATACCACTATATACGTATTACAATGACTAAAATTAATAAATATCTTACCTCTTCTTTTACAAGGCTCAATTTTTCAAGTAGTTTACATTTTTCTTCAAATAGTCCAGAAAATTTTGCAGCAAGGTCTTTCTCTCTTGCTAAAAAAAAACAAGAAAAAAAAAATGAAAGGAAAAAAGTTCAATATTATCTTGAGTAAATTATTTATGAGTTTCAAAATTATATACAATGAGACCTAAAGTAGAAAAATATAGCTTACCCACGTAAAGCCGACGTCTAACCTGAAACAAATTTTCAACAAAAATTACATTAAAACAAGTATACACTCAAGTAAATCTAATTTTTTAACTTCTACTGCCAACTTAAAAATAATAATGGGTTTCTTACTGTCTTAGTGGAAATACAAGTTAACTGAAAGTGTTCTACTCTCAATGAGTAAAATGCTACCTATTAAAGTCTCCTGATTAAAGATTCACATTGCGTATTAGCATATTAAAGGCTCTAAAATATCTTTATTATAAAAATACTTTAGTTTCATTTAACCCATTGTTCCCCAAACATGTTTGATCCTAAAACAAACTTTATCAAGAAACTCCTATTATCATCTACCCTAATGCTAATATCCAAAATAAAACAGTCTGAGAAATGTTACCATCGGGTGATAAATCTGAGCTGACTAAAGAAGCCAAACCTTTTCCTTCTCTATCTCATTCTGTCTCAAATAATGAAAGAGGAAAAATATCCATTTTTAAGAAATGAGTCTTAGGGCCAAGGTAACAAAATCAAGTAGAAAGAAGCGACGACTTAAATCATCTACAGAATATATATAGAAATGTTAAAAGAAAAACGTTAAGGCTGGGCTCAGTGACTTGCTCCTGTAATCCTAGCCTTTTGGGAGGCAGTGGCAAAAGGATTGCCTGAGTTCAGGGGTTCAAAACCAACCTGAGCAAAACGGCAATACATAAAACAAAAAGTTATCCAGGTATGGTGGCACACACCTATAGTTCCAGGCACTTGGAAGACTAAGGCAGAAGGATCACCTGAGCCCAGCGGGTCGAGGCTGCGGTGGCCATCAGCATGCCAGTGCATTCTAGCCTGGGTGATAGAGTGAGACTCCGAGTCAAAGAGAGAGAGAGAGAGAGAGAGTGCGTGCAGAATCAGTATAGATAAGAATAAATCAGTATACTGATTTCAGTTCTTCAAGTTGAAGAACTCTCTCAAAAGATAACAGAAAACCAAAGAAACTGAAAAATAAAACTTAAGAGATATGGAAAAATAGTAGTTCCAAGAAAAGAAAAAAAATAATATAAATGCAGAAGAAACCTCCCAGATTTAAATAAAGATAAAGCTGGACACAGTGGATGGGTTTGTCATCCCAGCTACTGGAGAGGCTAAGGCAGGAGGATCACTTAAGCCCAGGAGTTCAAGACTCTAGTGTGCTATGATTGCCCCTGTGACAAGCCACTCCACTATAGTCGGAGCAACACAGACAGACTTCGTCGCTTAAAAAACAAAAAATAAAAAAACTAAAAGTCCTCATATTAAAAGATTTAGGGAATTCTAAAGGGGAAATAAGAGGGAAAGAAGGTCCTACCTAAACGCATCATATTGAAATAAAAATATCAAATTAAAAGATTCAAAAATGCTTTCATAGAGGACAGGTAACTTACAAATGAGTAGGAGTCACACTAACATAAGACTTTTCATTAAGTAACACTAGATGTAAAAAGACAAGGGAGTAAGGTTTTTAAAGTATTAAAAAGATGGAACTAGCCAGGCACGGTAGCTCATGCTGTAATCCCAGCACTTTGGGCCCCAAGAGAACTGCCAGAGCTCGGGGGTTCGAGACCAGCCTGGGCAATTTGGTGAGACCTCGTCCCTACAATAAATCAAAAAATTAGCTGGGCACAGTGGTACGCACCTGTAGCTCCAGCTACTTGGAAGGCTGAGGCAGGAGGAGAGCCTGAGCCCAGCAGGTAGAAGCTGCAGTGGCTGTGCGAGTGCCATTGCACTCCAGCATGGGTGACAAGAGTGAGTCTCCAAGTCAAAAAAAAAAAAAAAAAGGTGGGGGATAAAACTTTGGACTTAGATTGCTTATATCTGAACAAATTACCACTCTAGTAAGAACTTAATTCAAATACCCTCAAGAAATCAAAATAAAGACTCGAGTTTATCAAACAAAGACCCATACTAAAATAATCTTGAAAGAAGTATTCAATTATGAGAAGAATTAAATCCAGGAGACCCTGCAAGTGTTATGTAAATTAAGGGTGATTAGATACCTTGGTAATATTTTTTGTTGTCTTGAAAGAGGGGAAAAGATGAAGGAAAAAGTTAAGAACAAAGGGGAGGCCAGGCTTCGTGGCTCAGCCTGTAATCCCAGCACTTTGGGAGGCCAAGGTGAGTGGATTGCCTGAGCCTGCAGGTTCAAGACCAGCAGGGACAACTTGGCAAGACATCGTCACTACAATAAAATAAAAAAATAGCCAGTCGTGGTAGCATGCTCTGTAGTTCTGCCTACTCGGAAGGCTGAGGCAGAAGGATCACTGGAGCCCAGGTCAACACTGGGGTGGCCATGAGCATGCGTGTCTCTGCACTCCAACCTGGGTGAAGAAGTGAGACTCTGACTCAAAAAAAAAAAAGAAAGAAAGAAAAAAGGGGAAAAAAGAGAAATACATCTTGAATAATTCAGAACAAAAAGTCTAAATGATACCAACGTGATGGGGGTTTGGAAGCGCGAAAGAGGAGAGCAAGAGATGTGAGAGTGTGCTAACGTTCTTGTCTTCCTAACAGAAAGATTTACTTATCAATGTGAAAAGAATTTAAAACAACCATATAAAAAGGGGAACAAATTAACAAACTAAGAAAAAAACTAATCCAAATATATTAATAATCATAATATATGTAGCTATACTCAACAGTGAAAAAAGAAATTGCCAGATTAAGTATAAAATCAATTCATACAAAACATACATTAAATAAAGACCATGGAAAGGCTGAAAAGCAAAAGGATGGAAAAAATATCAATTATCCCTCAAAAGAAAGTTAGAATAGCTATATTAACATTAGACAAAAGAGACCTTAAGACAAGAAGGTCACTAGATATTAGTAAAGTTTAATTCACCAAGAAAAAGCAATTCTAAACATGTGTCCATCTAGCAAAACATCATCAAAATATGGAAAGTAAGAATTGACAGAAAAACAGAATGTGATAAATATATGACAGTAGAATGCAGTCCACTTCTCTTCATTCTTGATAAATGAAGAAGACAAACAAGAGAATAAAAATATATATACCTGAACAAATAGTCAATTACCAAGCTTGACCTAATAAATGAATACAAAATGATACACATTTATCTGCTTTCAACAGTAATCAATGGAATAGAAAAAAGAGTGCAAGAAAGGTCAAGTGTATGTAGAACTCTAATATGTGGCATGGCAGCTAGGTAGGGAAAGGAGGGTCTATTGAATAAGTAGAGCAGGAAAAAAATTACACTGATTCCCTCTCCTACAACAGACAAAAAATTAACACAAAATAAATCAAGGACTGAAGTGTCAAAAGCAGTAATTTTTTAAGCAAGAATTTCTGTTCATCAGAAAAAGTCCCAAAGACAAAATATATTTCATACTGGGACATTTGCAGTACATACAGCCAGCAAAGGTAATATCAAGAATATACAAAGAACTACAAGTAAATTTAAAAACAACAAATTACTCATGGAAAAAAATGACAAGAACCATGGATATTTCCAAGAACATATACATTTGGCCAGTAAATTTATAAAGAGATTTAAATTTCACTAGTAGTTAAGGAATTCAAATCAAGACCATGATATGATATGATTTTATATACATTCAAATGGAAAAAATTAAGAATTACAGAAGAGGACTTCCGGCAAGATGGCGACATGGCAACCTGGTCTATGAAACCCTCTGCAAAGGAGAACGCAGAGGGTCTCTGGCTCTCTCCCTGGGGGGGGCTGCGGAACCCAACGTCGGCAGCCTGCTCTTCACATGGAGCTTGGCCATCACCATCGCTGGGGCATCGCAGCGTCTGGACAGCCACTGCAGCTGCATACACAGCAGCCGCCGAAGCCATGCGGCCTCCATGGCGGCCATAGTGCATTGTGCCACCCCTGCCTGAAGCGATCCGCGACTTCAGTCCTTGAAGCCCCTGCAGGCAAGAACTGCTGGGATCACTGCCACCTCTGCTGCCACCGTGACGTCCTGCCATGTGCCCCGAGGCAGGCTCCCATCTCTGGCCCCTGCCCGACTCTTGTACAGCTACACCCCCTCTGGGGCGAGCAGCTGAGTTAGCACCACCTGCTGGTGATTCAAGGTAACACCACCGAAACAGGAGAAACAAGCTTGAAAAACAGACACAGGCCAGATTTGAGTGGTGAACAGAGGGTGATCTGAACTGTCCTTCACAGTAGGGCAGGGACAACTGACCATAACTGCGAACTAATTTACCACCTTGAAAAGACAGCTAGAAATCAGAGCTGAAAGGACATTGGACTTAAATGAAAAGTCTCAGAGTGTGCTCGACTGGTTCTGTTAGTTTAATGACTTAATTCTATTCCTATTGCTTTGTTCCTTTTTTTTTTCTTTTTCTCTTCCTTTTCTTTTCTTCTCTCCTCTCTGTAAAACATATCTTTGTATAGAGGAACAGCACACCAATAAGATGGTTGGTTAGCTTGTATGTTAGCATCACTGTATGTTTTATTTTTTTGTATGGGAGTTGCTTAGTCTGTAGCCATGGTCTATTGTTTTTATCTGTTTCAGTTTAGGTCTCTCTCTCTCCATTTGTTGGTACACTCGTCTGTTTCCCCACTTACTGCTCTCTCTCCAACCCCTCTTCCCCCCACTGTCTGCGACATGCTCTTCCCTCTGCTAACCACATTTTATTTCAGGGAGTAAACCTACAGCCCCACTGCACGGACAGATTCCAAGGCAGTGGGTTTCAGATTATTCATACACCTGTCAGCGAATACCAGGACCTGCAGATAGATTTTGAATCACAGCTCCCCCCTTAAGTAAATCTCAAAACTACAAAAAGGACCACCCCCAACCTACAGTGCAACTCCAGAACTGAACAAAGTAAGAGGACGTACATAAAGAATAGGAGATTGAACAAACAGAAGTAAAACCAATCCCTCTACCCCTGAATAACAGAATTAAAGAAGATGGTGACATGGAGGGAAGAAAAAAGTAGGGAAGGGGAAAACCGCACAAATGAAGAAAAACCAAAAGAAGAATATAGGTCTCACACAGACCCCTAGGAGATCAGACACTGAGAAAACAGATTCCGGAACACAAACAATGAAGAGCCATAATGTATGTCACCCATAATGACTGGTGACATACAACAAAACCAGACATCAAGACATTAATAGAGAGAATTAAAAAAATTGAGGTCAGACAAGAGGAAAATAGGAAGGAGCTGATGTCAGAAATAACAGCAGTAAAGAATACTGTGATGGAAATAAATAACAAACTAATAAGCATGGAAAGCAGAATTAGCCAAGCAAAAGAAAGAATCTCAGAGCTCGAAGATCAAAACACAGTACTAACCCAAACTGTCAAAAGCATAGAGAAGAAGCTCAAAAAGACAGAACAAAACCTTCAAGAGATGAATGATCACTTCAAGAGACCAAACCTAAGAGTAATTGGCCTTCCTGAGGCAGAGAGAGAAACAGAGGCCACATTGAAACAAACATTTCATGAAATCATTCAAGAAAACTTCCCTCATCTCGTCAATGATGAAAAAAATTCAAACACAAGAGATTTAGAGAACCCCTGCAAGACAACAAATGAGAAGATCAACTCCCAGACATATAATAATTCACCTAAACAAAGTAGGTATAAAAGAAAAAATCCTAAAGGCTGCAAGAGAAAAAGGCCAGACTACATACCAGTGAAGACCAATTAGAATAGCAGCAGATTTATCTACAGAAACCCTCCAGGCTAGGAGAGCTTGGAGCCCTATCTTCAAAATTCTAAAAGATAAACAATTTCAACCAAGAATAACCTACCCAGCCAAGCTAAGCTCCATCAGTGAGGGAGAATTGAAATCTTTCCCAGATATCCACTCCCTAAGAACCTACGCTGCCATAAGACCACCTCTACAAGAAACACTTAAGAAAGTATTGAACACAGAAGAAAAGGAAAAAAGAACAACAACGTTCTTCACAAGAGTACAGGCAAAAGATTAAAAACACACATGACTCAACTCTAAAACCAGAAACAAAAATCTGAGTATCACATGTTCTCACTCATATAGTGGACCTTGAACATCCAGTATAATACTATAAGAAAATGACTGACAGTGGTGGTAAACTATGGTGGGGAGGGGAAGGGAGATGGGATTAATGGTAGTAAATATCTGTCTGGGGATGGGGAGACACCTCTTATCAACAAGGGTGCCTGAACGAAGCATATTTGTATACCTAACCCTTAACTGTACTCCACAATATCATAATAAAAAATATTGATAAAAAATAAAGAATTACAGAAGAACAGGAGAGCATAGGGATCAAATGGGCCTCTAACATCTCTGATCGTATCACACAGCTGGTAGGAGACAGTTGGGACAATATGGAAAAGAATCTGGCATTAGCTTTTAAAAGCAGAACCTCTACATACCCTATAACACAATAATCTCACACCTAGGTATATTCCCAAAAGAAACTCTCACACATACATTACAGGCAACATGTATAAGAATGTACACAGCAATGCTGTTTAAAATAGAAACTGTCTGGACACACAAATACCCAAGGTCATAAAATGTATAAACTGTCATATATTTTTATAACAAACTGTATTCTAGAAAAGGCAAAATGGAAAAAACATAGCCTCATTCAAAAATACAGATGGATTTTAATAATATAGAATAGACTAAAAAGTAATTCCAAAAGGTGACATACAGCGTGATTCCAAGTAAACTTATATACTATATTTTTGAAGGATAAATGTAGATATGAAGCCCCCCCAATTTTTTTTAGGTATGAGAATAATCAACACAGAATCCAGATTAGGGTTATTTCTATTACAGGGAGGCAAAGAGATAAGATGAGGGATGGAACCAGATACAGTGACGGCATCTGTAGTCCCAGCTACTCAGGAGGCTGAGCCCAGAAGTTCAAGACCAGACTGGGCAAAAGTGAGACTCCTTCTCTTAAAAAAAAAAAAAAATTCCTCTGAACCATATTTAGTTTTCAGTAGCCACACATTAACATGAGTAACACACATAAAAATAATCTAACTTGTTTCCCTACAATAACAAATGTCTCTCATATTATTTATTCAACCCAAAGACAAAATAAACATTCTCTTAGTATAGCATTAATTACTTACCGATCTAAAACCTCTCCACAAAAAAATGAGTACAGCAACAACAGCTGCACATATCACCAATTCCCATGGAAAACCATAAGGATTAGAATCTTGTCTCATAGCTTCAGGCAGTGCTGCCACAACCTTCAAAACAAAGAAAAGTCCTTAAAAATGCACTTTTGATCTAAAAAAAATGTTGATTATAAACCTAGGTACAAGTTTATGTGGTCAACTCTATTAATATCCTTTTCGCAAAATGAGTTGCCAGACTAACACCCAACAGAGATTATCAGAGTGTATTTTTGCAGCAACTTTCAGCCACTATCCCACCAAATAAAGAAGAACAGTATGGTGAAATGCAACGATTTTTAAAATGGAGTCCTACAGAGCTGCCTCAGCCTCAGAGCTTCCATGGATGAGAATTACAAAAGGCCAAAGAAAGAAGCTGAGTGGCCAGGGTTCAGGTTCTCTTACCCTGATTTCAACTAGTTTAGGTTTTTATCTGTACAGTATAACCACTTCCCCAATACAGAAATCAATCTGTCACTTCAAAAAAAAAAGTTTGATTTGAGGCCAGGCTGTGCAACACAGTAGGATCCTGTCTCTCAAAACAAAAACCAACGGACAGTGCTTTGGGTTTGGAATTTGAATACCTCCACCTGAACTCTGTAAATCCATTCTCTTACCTGTAATAGGAATCATGCAGGACACATACTCAACTATTTCTATTATCTCTCCTCCAAAGACCCTGATTCTATAACCAAGCCCTTTCCACATTACTTCCCCTCCTTCCACCCAGCAGGTCTTCAGCATAACACAGTTTAATGCTTTTCAGCTGTTTTTATACTTAACCTTTCTTTCTCATTCTCACCCAATGGAATTATTCTACTCTTTGTTACCATGCACTAGATGTGATTCAATCACAAAGAAAGGAGAAGGCAACAGAAAAAAGAAAAACACCCTCTTAAGAACAACCTGCTGGGTCCACACCAACAGGCTCAAGCCTGTAATCCCAGCACTTTGGGAGGCCAAGGCGAGAGGACAGCCTGAGTCCCGGGTTCGAGACCAGTCTGGGCAACTTGGTGAGACCTCATCTCTACAATAAATCAAAAAATTAGCCAAGTGTGGTGGTGCAAGCCATGTAGCTCCAGCTACTTGGAAGGCTGATGAGGAAGGATCCCCTGAGCCCAGATAGAGGCTGTGGTGGCCATTGAGCATGCCGCTGCACTCCAGTCTGGGAGACAGAGTGAGACTCCAACTCAAAAAAAAAAAAAGGAATGAAGCACTGTTTACAAGCTACAACATAGGTAAGCCTTGAAATACTAGAACATAAAAGTAAGATACAAAAGGTCATATATCGTATGGCCATTTATATGTAATGTCCAGAATGTACATATTCATAGAAACAGAAAGCAGATTAGTAGTTGAAGGATAGAGGAAGGGAGAATTGGGACTTCTAATAGGTACAGGGTTTCTTTTTGGGGGTGATCAAAATGTTCTAGAATTGTGCTGAGAGTTGCAACAACTTATTGAATAAACAAAAAAACCACTGAAGCTGGGCACAATGGATCCCACCACTAAACCCAGCTACTTGGGTAGCTGAGGAGGGAGGATTGCTTGAGGTCAGTAGTCCGACACAAGCCCGGGCAACATGGTAGGCCCCACCTTCTTTAAAAACAAAAAAAAGAAAGAAAGAAAGAAAAGAAAAAAAGCCTGGGCTCAGTGGTTCAGCCTGTAATCCCAGCACTTTGGAAGGCCAAGGCAAGTGGATTGCCTGGGCCTGTGGGTTCGAGACCAGCCCAGGCAACTTGGCGAGAATTCGTCTCTACAATAAATCAAAAATTTAGCCAGGCATGGTAGTGCGTGCCTGTAGTTCTGGCTACTTGGAAGGCTGAGGTGGGAGGATCACCAGAGCCCAGCAGGTCCACGCTGGAGTGGCCGTGAACTGGAGTGGCCGTGAGCGTGCCACTGCACTCCAACCTGGGCAACAGAGTGACTCCAACTTAAAAAAAAACCTTAAAAATTAGCTGGGTGCATTGGCTCCTGCCTGTAATTCCAGCTACTCAGAAGGCTGAGGTGGGAGGATCACAGGGGCCCAGGAATTTGAGGCTTCAGTGAGCTATGATCATCTCACCGCACTTGAGCCTAAGCAACAGAGCAAGACCCCTAAAAAGAAAAAAAAGGAAGAAATAAAAGTCACGGAACTGGACACTATAAAATGGTACATTTTATGTTAAGTGAATATATCTCAATTTCAAATAATTTGTTTAAATTAAAAAGCAGAACAATGTGCCATCCTAGCTTCCAGAACAGTGCATTAAGCATTTAGCAACAAAAATCATCCAGGTGAAGATGTTGTACACTAGACTAGAGAAAATTTTGCAAAATCTGCTTACTCCTCTCTTATGTCTCTCTCCATTGGCAGTCCTATAAAAAAACTATGTTTTGATTATTGTTTTTAGTGAAGGTAAATATGGGCACGTGCGTGCTAAAATTATCTCTCATCCCACATCATGTTTCTCTTCCTATCAACCCTATCTAATAGCTGACCTACATGCTCCTAACATGAAGATCTTTCTAAACCAAAAGTCTAATCACAGACACGCCTTCAAAGGCTCTCCAGCACCTACAGTAAACTTGGAACCTAATTATGTCTCAAGCAAGCATCACTTGCCTTGCTTCACTCCCTAAGCCCACCTTCACACTCAAAGTAATGCAGCTCCTAGTTCCCTCACACACCACCCCGCCTGTGCTTCAGCTATTTGCACAGCCTAGAAAGACTTTCCCAACCACTCAAGAAAAGGAAATCTCTCCCACTCTTCAACTTCTCTAGCACTCTGTGTGTATGCTTCAGGAAGAAATTCACCAGTTTCTACTTTGTAACATATATATACACATATATTTTTTGTCTTCTCTCCCTTAACAGACAGCAAGATGCTGGAGGCAAAAACTATGCTGTAGTTTAGAATCTCCATAAAGCTGTCTCTTTAATACACACACACACACACACACACACACACACACACAAGTACACACACAAACGTATGCACTAAACATTCTATGACTGAATAAAGAGCATGGCAACAGTAATTCTTAAGTCGCGTAACAAGAAAACGTCATCATAACTGCCTCAACGTTTAAACCGTCTTCTTAAATATTTAAAGTCGTTTTTAAAAACACGGCTACATAACTGCTCTTAAACATGTCAACGAAGACACCTATAAAAACACGTAGAAACAACTCTACACCCTGATTATAAACTTGACCTGAAAAACAAAAAACAAAAAAAACAACTTTGGACGCTGAGAGTGGACTGCCTCCAGAAGTCCCCTGAGCAAGGCAACAGAGGCGAAGGACGGTCTCCCCAGTGGCAAAGCCTCTCAAAGGGCAGTCTTTATTGAAAGAAATGTCGAGTCGGAATCCCAACACCTGACCTGAGACATCCTTCCAAGACAACGAGAAGTTTCACCACTAAAGGGAACTCACTTCAGAAGACCGGTCCTCGAGTTCCTCCCAGTCGAGGGAACCACGTGTCACTGACCCCTGCTCAAAATAAACAACACAACGGAAAGGCCACTTCGTTTGGGGACTCGGGAAGCCTGTACCCCGCCTCTGCAAAGCTGAGCAAAGGCTTCCCTCGCCTTCCAGAATCCCGGGTCCTTTTCCACACGGGCACCTGCGAACCTGGCTACCGTCTTGAGCGCAGACCGGGCCGGCAGCAGGTGAGCCCCAGCTTCGGGACCTCAGACCGCGGCGGCTGGGACTTCCCAAGCCAGTTCCCCCGGCGGCGGCCGCGACCCCGGGGCCACGTCACCCGCTTCGCGCCGGGACTCACCCTGTGCAGCTCTGCCAGGACCAGCCCCAAAAGCAACCGAGGCGCAGCCCAGGCTTCCTCCATGGCGCCCAGACCGCCTA